CATGGCCAATGTGTTGGCTAGTTTTGCTTGATTATGCTTATTTGTTACAAGATGGAATTCTAGTGGTTGTAAAAAGGGTAGGGAGGAGTCTTTGGGAGGTCTCATTAACAGTGGGAAAAAAAAAAGATTTGAAACTTAAAAAAAAAAAATTGTTCCCCAGACCAACACAACACTCTAATGTTGGATAGAGTCCATCTATTCAACATTGGACAAACCCTAGGGTAGAGCTGACCTGTTTGATGGGTGACTGGCTGCCCGGCCTAAACTGATCAATCTATAATCATTTATCAAACTCCACTGAACTTTGCCTTGACCATTAGGCAGGCCTAGCCATTTACCACCTGCCCAGAGGCTGTAACCCCCAACATCATTCCCCAACATGCTTTGTCCAAGGAGTCAAACATACAGCATTATGGCTGTAGGGAAAGGCATGGCAATCTATTATCTTAGCACTATTCCTAGTACTAGACTAAATTCCTAGACTCAGAATCCCTGTGATTCAGAGGCACAGGCCATAAGGGAGAATATCCCTTTCTTGGCTACCCCTCATGCCCATTCCTGTCAGTTCCAACTCTCTTTGTCCCTATTCTACTCAACCTGCTTTCCATTTTGCCCCCATTCCATTGGTAACAAACATCCTTTCAAATTTCCTCTCATGCTTCTTCCTTCTTGGCAAAAAATGGAAACCTGGCTTCCCTCACAAGAGACTGCACCTCTGGGCATCTTCTCCAGCTCTGGATGGACCTCTATCCAGGCCCTCCCCCTTTCCCCTCTGACCCCAGAGTGGTCCAGTAGGAGGAGAAAGCACACTCTCATACACACTCATCATTCACCAACTTCTCCTTCTCTGGGTTTCCTAATTTGTTACCCGATACAGATCTTGGTGACCATTCTCAACCGCCACCACCTGTATCATTCTTCCTCCTTTCTTTTTTTTTTATTTCACTAAATACATCCCAATTACAAAAAAAAATTAACAGTAATTTTTAAATATTGAGTTCCAGATTCTTTCCCTGTCTCCTGCCCCTTCCCCCTTCTTCCTCCTTTCTTGAGGAGTTCCATGCCTGGCTCACAGTTCTCCTTCCCACCCCAACCCAGGCCCTCATACTTGGGAAGCTCAACCTACAAGTTGATTTTCCTTCAAACGTCCTTGCTTTCGAGCTCATCGAGACCCCCGGCTTTCCTGACCTTCTCCTTCACTCCGCCTCAGCCTCACATAGGGATGGCCACACCCTTGAGCTCATCCTCACCCCTATGTATTTGTCCTTCATAATCCATAATTTTGAAATTCCTGTCTGAGAACATAAACTTCTTTCCTTCCAGCTCTCCCCGTGACACTTTCCTCCTAAACCCAGTCTCTCTCTTCCCTACAACCTTTAGTAGCTCACTCCATTCCCTCCCTACTTTCCCAGGCCAGCCACCATCCTTGCTCTGGCTTCACTTTCCTCCTTTCAAAATCTTGACCCTATAGTTAACCAGCTTGGCTTTACCCTTTCTTTTATCCTTGAATGCATTGCCTAGCAATTCCAATTGCTACTTATCCCTTTCCAAACCCCAACCCTGGATTACTTCACCATCTGCCTTCTGGGGGCAGCCAGGTTGACAGTGAAGACTCATCTTCCTGAGTTTAAATCTGGCTTCAGACACTTATTTAGCTGAGTAACCCTGTGCATGTCACTTAACCACGTCTGCCTCATTAAATAAGCTGGAGAAAGAAATGGCAAACCACTCCAGTATCTTTGTTGAGAAAACCCCAAATGAGAGTTGGACACCACTACAAATGACTGAACAACAACAAAGCTACCTTCTCTGCTCCAACATAAGCACTGTTGAATGCCAATGGAGGAGATCATAATACTGCACTGAATAGGTCCACTCCAAATTCTTGTCCTATAATCTCAACCGTGTTCTCCCTGCAGCACCTCCATCTTTTTAGTCTTCCCCAATCTCTCTAATCCACTCCCCTCAGCATCTATTCCAAAGCAATTCTCTGAAGTTATCTATACTACACCCTTCCTCTCAGCGACAGCCCTGCATCCCAAGCTTCCTCTTCCCTCCAATGTTATTCTTCATATCCCTGAATCATGACATACAGCCCACCTCCTAACTCCCTCCTCCTTTGCTCCAGTCTGGAAGGAAGAGGTTGTCCTTTCTTGCAAATGCCAAACTCTCTACTTGTGCCCTTGAGAGAACATTCTCACTGACCCTTTCTTCTGTCAGCAGGCAAGCACAACTTCATGATTTATGTGAAAACTAGGTTTATTACAAGAGAAATGAATGTGCATTTCCCCTTCTCTATGTAGTGAATTTATCACATCCCTTCCCCCTGACTCCCTTTGGAGCATGATCCTTACAAACATGGCCAGACTTCTATATCCTTTAAAAAAAAAAAAAAGGCACCAAACCTTCCCTTGATCCCCTCCAGCTACCATCCTACACCTCCCCTTTTTCATAGTCAGACTCTTAGAATAATTTAGGTGCCCTTTTCTCACCCGCCTCTTGCTTCTCAGCCCTTTATAATCTAGCATCCAATCATATCACTCAACTGAAATATCTTTGAGTTAACCAATGACCTGATGACCTTTTCTCCATCATCCTTGACCTCTCTGCAGCATTTCCTGCCGTGGTCCAATCCCTCCTCTCTCCTGGTTCCTCTCCTATCTGTCTGGTTCCTCTTCACTCCCCTTTGTTTAGATTATCATCCTGGTCCCACTCCTCCATGTATCTGAGGGATCTCTCCTTTCTACAGCTATTACTCACTTGGTCTCATCAGGTCCCATGGATTCAACCCTTTCTTCCGTGCAAATGACTCCCAGATCTCCACATTCAGCTTTAGTCTCTTTCCTAACCTGCAGCCCCACATCACCAATTGCCTACTGACACTTTCAATGCCTTGTGCCCTAGGCATCTCAGACTTAATGTATCGAGACCAGAACTCATTGTTCTTCCCTCTCCTATCCTTCACTTCCCTCCTTCTGTTGTAGGCACCACCATCTTCTTAAGTCACCCAGGTTCATCATCCTCAGCTCTTCTTTCTCCCACATATCCAACCAGTTACCAAGTCTTGCCGATTTCACTTCCACAGTCTCTTCCATCTGTCACTTTCTTTCCACTCACAGTCATTACCCAAGCTCAAGCCCCCTTCACCTCCTATCCGGAGCAACGCAACAGTCTTCTAACTGATCTCCCTTTCTCCATCTCTCTTTTTTTGCAATCCCTCTTCCATACAACTGCCAAATTGTTATCTGTCTAGGTCACATCCCTTCCCCCGCCCCCAGAAGCTCTAACTCTTTTCCTTCTGGGATAAAATACAAATTCCTCTGTTGGCCTTATAAAGCCTTGCATAACCTGATCCATTCCTACGTTTTCTCACACCTAATACCCCTCCTCCCATGTACTCAGTGATCAGTGACATGGACCTCCTGGTTATTCTCCCCACAGCCTCCGTCTCCCTACTCTGGACATTTTCACTGGTTGTCCTTCCTGCTGGGAACTTCCTTCCTCATCTCCTGCCTCCTGGCATAACCAGTTTCCTTCAAGTCCTAGCTCAAAATCCCACCTTCTGCCCCAAACCTTTCCCAATCCCCCTTCATTCTGGTGCCTTCCCTCCAATGATCATCTCCGATTTAGCCTGTCCATAGATCGTTGGTGTTGTCTCCCATTAAACTGTGAGCAGGCACTGTCGTTGTCTGGCACCTAGAAGGTGCTTAAAAAATGCCAGTTGCCTGAACGGCTTTAGAAACTCTTCCTGCCTGGTTCCAGTATATCTTGGGAGGGTTACTGCATGTCCTCTCTTCCACATGCTTCATGCTACAGTTTAACTGCTTGGCTTGCTGTTACATTCCATGCCTTTACCCAGCCTGTCCCTCCCACCTGGCATCTGCTCCCTCACTTTTTTTGGATCTTAGATCCCACTTATACTTCAAAGCCCAGTTCAGGAACCACCTCCTACAGGAAACCCATCCTGATGCCCTCTGTTGTGAGTCCTCCCCAGCAAAACAAACAAACAAACAAACAAACCTATATGATTTCTGATAAATTTTTCCAGTCATTTTGTCCCAATAAAACACAATCTCCTTGAAGGCATGGACTGTTTTGTTTCATTTTTAGTCAAATGATCAATAAGCATTTAAGGGCCCAAGCACATTCAAGGGTTTCTCCCCAGAAAGAGGGCTCACCCCTTCCCCAGACCAAGGCACCAGAAAGGCATCTCTTCCTGAAGCCCAAGATCACTGGTACTTTTCAGCTGCCACTCTTCTAGATCCAGCAGTCCCCTAGTATTATGTTTCATCTTTTAAGATCCTCGTTAGCCTGGGTAGACATTGTCAGGAGGCAGACCTCAGCCCTATGTAAAGCAAAGTTGGAAACCAGAGCTCTGAATGAACAGGTTTCATCGGGAGGTAGTGAGCTTCTCTTGAGGGATCATCTCAGGCATGGGCTGGATGGGTGGGCCCTTGTAAGGTATGGAGGGGAACACAAGCTCAGTCAGGTAGAGTGGAATGAACTAGGGGTTTAGAAAATCAGCTAATTTGGGGGGGAATGCTGTCTTTGCCAATTATCTGTGACCTGGGGAAAGTCACTTATGTGGGTCTCATTCTTCCCCAAGTGCAAAATGAAGGGGTTGGCCTAGGTAACTTTTAAAGTTCCTTCCCAGCCTTTGACTGATGATCTGGGGACTCTGAGGGACTCTCTTCTGGCCTGCATTTTATAGATGAGGAAACAGGTCCAGAGGGGTCACACCTTGCCCAAGATGATCCAGTAGCATAGTGCCAGCATTCAAACCCAGCTCGCATGTTCTCATGCCCAGCCTGCCTTCCTGGACCTTCTGGGGGAAGCACACACAAACATGGCACCCGAGCCTTCCCCAGAGTCCTGTGGAGACACCTACAGCACCATTAATGATGACTTTTTATTTCTCACCTCGAAGTACCACCCAGAACCAGCCCCCCAGTATCTACTGGCTCTTTGACCATGACAGACGGCTTCTTGGAACCACAGAGAACAGAAGGCCAGCTAAGCATTTATTGCATATCTAACCTTCCCCAACACAGCCCTCCTTCCATCTTTAAGTAAAAAAAAAAAGTTTTTCCTTTAAAAACAAAATCAACCACAAATAAGAAAAGCCAAAAAAAAAAAACTTCCCAGAATGGCCCAACCAGCGGCCCTCTGTGCCCCAACTCAGTTATATTTTTTTTTCCCCTAAGGGGTCTCTCCACACTCATTCACCCAGAGTCCCCTGGGAAGGGAAGTGCAAAGGTCATCTCACCTCAGGGGGCTAGGCTAGGCAGGCACCCTGACCCCAAGGGGACTAAGGAGGGAGGAGGAAGCTGCATCAGCCCATAGGACCAGTCAGAGAGTTGTAAACAAACAAACCTAGCTAGCTTATATTAGAAAAGAGGATATTAGGGGTGTGGGGAGGTCTTCATGGGGCTCCAAGGGGGAAATGAAGCTATGGTGGACTTCCTGGGGGAACTCCATGTTCCCTGGTCACAGCTAAAGCTGCAGACCTAGCCTCACACAAAGGTTTCAGTTCTCAGTAAACCCAGCTTCTTGAGAAGGGAAGTTAAGCTGTGTGCCCCACCCGGCCCCAGCCCCAAGTCACACTCCCAAGGAAGGGATGGAAGGGATTTTACAATGACCTGCCCAAGGGCAGCTGGCTCAGGGGCCCCCCTGGCTTGGAGGGAACTCTTATAGTACCATCCTGTGGTGCTGCGAGAGTTTAAACAAAAACACCCGTTCCCCAAACTGGCTGGTCCAGAAGCCAGAGCACAGGCCTCCCAATATAGGGATTAAGCCCATATCGGGTGTCTATGATAGAGCAAACCTTATGGTAAGTCCCTTTTAAAATTTTAACCCCAGAATATGTCAGAGGCAGCATATTTCTACCTGGCTGCCCCTGGAGTCACGGTCTGTGGGATTCGAGGGAAGAAGGGGGGTGGGGCCCAGAGCCTCTGACCCCCAACCCCCACCCCGGTTCTATGGCTTATTTATGGGTCTGGGGTTGCATTGTGGGGCAGGAAGGCTTTAAGTGGCTTAGAGGGAGGAGAGGAGGGGGATGGCTCTTGGCCCCCAAAGGCAGTGTGGGGGGGACTGCAGGACCCAGACTCCTAAGAGGAGCCACTGCTCTGGTCGCTGCTCCAGGCACCTAGGACCTTATCCTCCTGCCGAGGGGTAAGGATGGGATCCTGCTTCTGCTCCCAAGTTTAAAGTCCCAACCGGGCTAGAAGAATGAGTGCGGATTGTGGCTTGGGCATAATGACCCTGACCTCTTGGAGTAGGCTTAACAGATAAGTGGGCCTGAGAGAGGGGAACAGAGTAACCAGGAGGTCTGTGACCCAGAGGGAGGGTGACTGAGGTCAAGTTCACTACACACTCCCAGATCGAGGCGCCCCCCCCCACACTCTCTTGAGCAGAGATCCACACACTGGGAAATACCCTCTGCAGAGTCAACTCCGAAGGTTCATTCATATGTGGAGGTAGTCCTCCCCTCAGCCCCAGCAGGACACACCCCCTAGGTGCCCATATATTCAAAGAAACACCCTCCCTGGAACATAAAACCCCAGAGAGGGACACTTCCCATGGGACGACACTGTCCCAGAGACCCGCTTTGACACACACTTTCTTCCTGCTACCCTCTCCTACACAGTGGAAGTACCTCGGAAGCTATGCAGCAAAGGTCTGCCTCTTGACCAAGAGCCCTTTCTCAGCCACACACACAGGAAACATGTTCCTGTCTCTGCCCTGTAGTTACCCCATGGAGTCCCCGGCCACTCACGGCCTCTGCATGAGAGGCCAAGGCCCAGGGAGGGAGGGGTGGGGCGTGGCACTAGTCCCTATGGCTTTGATCAAACGCCATCATTTGACAGATGAGGAAACTGAGGCCCAGAAAGGCTAGGGGAAGTGTCCAAGATCCTACAGCAAGTAGGGGGCAGAGGGCAGGAGCAACAGCTAGAGTGAGACCCTGCCACGCTCCCAGCCTCTGGGACACAAGGTTGGACATCAAGCATGGGAGGCTGCCTGCAGCACCAATAACGAGGGTGAGGAGGAGGGGAGTCGGGAGCCATAACCCGGGATGTTCTCCCTCCTGTAGCTGTAGGGACGCAGGGTTTGCCCTCTGACCCCTTGAGCACCAGGAGTCAGCAGATGGCCCCAACAGGAAGAGTGCCGAGCTGAGGGTCGGTAGACTTGGTTCAAGTCTCCAGACTCTTCTCACTGCATGGCTCCCACACAAGGAAAACCACTATGTGGAGCTGTTCTAAAGTGGAACAAAGGGGCTTTCTGCAGCAGGAAGCAGTGCGCACCCCATCGCTGAAGGTGTTCAAGCAGAGGCGAGAACCCTGGGGATCTAGTGGAGGGGACTCCTGTTCAGGGAGGTCCAAAGGGAACCAGATGCACTCTGAGGTCCCCTTCCAACCTGGCCCGGGGGCCTCAGTTTCCCCATCTGCAAAGTACATTGAACTAGATGATCCCTAAGGTCTCTGGCAGTCTCCGAGGGTTCCCCAGGAACCCCTGCTGTCACAGTGGACAGGGCCAAGGGGTTTGAGAATGTGGCTAACTTCTAAGAGCTTCAGACCAACCTGGAGGCGAGCGTTGGGGTTCATCTCCTCCTCAAGGCATCCCTCCCAGGGGCGGGTCAGGGACAAATCTGGGTGACCAATGGACCGTGACCAAAATTAACCAGTCCACTTCCCCTTCTGGCTGAAATGAAGGGGGAGACACGTGCATGCACACTCAGGCACACATGCAAACACGCACACGTGCATACGTATACACAAACACACACACACACACACACACACACACACACACACACACACACACACACACACACACACACACACACCCCTTGGTCCAGCCACGAGACCCTAACTCCTGCAGGGAGCCGCAGGGCTGGTCTGGGGGCCTTCATCAGTGGGAAGTCCAGGACGAGGGCAGGGGCAGGCAGTGAGAGGTGAAGGGCCGTGGCTCCTAAGCAGACCTCGGTTCCTGCAGCTCCCCTCCTCGCCACCGTCCTGCCCAGCAGGCCAGGCCTCTCAGCGGGCAGGCGGTGGTGGAGACAGCACGGGGTGGGCCAGCGTCACATTGAGGGAGTCGTTATGCTGAACCAGCGACGTATGCTTGTAATGTAGCACCAAGTCCTTGAGGGAGGCGTACAGGTTGTAGGGCTCGGCAAAACCATAGCCGGTCACCGTTTTGTAGATGACGCAGTGTTTGGTGTCTCCGTCCACCCTGAGAGGCAAGAGAAGGCAGAGCTGGCCCTCGGTGTGCCCCCGACTCAGGCACCAGCCTGTCACCAGAAGCCGGGCCTTGACCTTGCTTTGGGGGAGGAGGGAATGTCCAGGGACTCTAGTGACGGCCTGCAGCTCAGGGCCTGACCTTGCTTTGAGGGAGGAGGGAATGTCCAGGGGACCCTAGTGACAGCCTGTAGCTAAGGAGCTGTCCTCCCATCTGCCGGCCTGGCCCAGGCCAGTCCTGAGTATACTTACACCACCGAACAGGCGTAGCATCCCCGCTGGCTGCTCTCACGGATGAGGAAGGTGCCATCCCGCTTGCCACTCAGCATCTCCTCTGCCCGACCTCGGTTGATCTTCCCAACGTACCACGTCCGCTCCTCCTGATGGGGCAGGTCCTCTTCCTCATCCACCATAGAATACTGGCTGTGGGTGTGGGCAGAGTTAGGCAGGGACGGCCTCAGAGCCTCCCACGCCCCTCCGGGGGAGGACTCCCAGGGAAGAGGGCAGGCATGTCTTATCCTCTGTGCTTAGCACAGTGCCTGGCACGCAGTAGGCCTTTAATAAATACTGAGTGATCAGCATTCCTGCTCGCCTCATCTCTGATTCCTGGCTTCCCCAACCTCCTTCAACACCCAACTCAAAGCCTGCCTTCCTGAGAAGCCTTTCCCTATCCCCGCCAGTGCATTCCCTCTGGGATTACTGCTTATTTACACCCTACATAGCATAGACAGTCCACCATATTGTCTCCCATCTCCGGGACATAGCATGGAACCTGGCTCCCAGTGAGTGCTGAGGGCCCCTCAACTCTTCTGGTTCCTCTCCCCCTCCCAAGGCCCAAACTTTTCTCTTTTCCTGCCTGGAAGGAGGCTGGGCTCACCAAGCCAGTGCACCCCACCCAAGAGGCATTCATGATGTGATTACTATACACCGGGTGTTGGGCACACACAGACAGACCCTGCCTTCATGGAGCTACCTAACAGGGAAGGGGAGGGGGCCACAACAACCTGGTTACCAGGCAAGTCTATACAGGATTACTTGGGCAGAAAACACCATAGTGGGTGGAGATCAGGAGGGGCTTCCCTGAAGAGGCCTTGAAGGAAGTGAAAGCCTGACAGGTGGAAGGGAGGAGGGAGAGCCCAGGCAGACAGGATGGTCCAGGGCTCAGCACCTCCGTCCGGCATCGGTGAAGGGGTAGACAGACACCACCACCCTTGGTCTCTTCTCTCAGGTGGCAGTTCTTCCCAAATCACTCAATTAACAAGTATTTATTATGTGCCAGTTACTAAGCTAGAAGCTGGACCACTCAGACCAGGGATTCTTAACTTGGGGAATCCACAAACTTGATTAAAAAATCTGTATATTTTTGGATAAATGTGTTTTGATGGGATTGGTTTCTGTTGTAATCCTATGAATTTTATTTTATGCATTTGAAAACCTTATTCTGACAAGGGGTCCACAGACTTCTTCCTCTGCTGGCCAAAGGGGTCCAGGATACAAAGAAGGACATGAACCCCTCTCTCCCTTCCCCACGTTCTTGGAGAGTGTCGCATGTTTGAACCCAGCCCAGAGGCTCCCTGGATACCTGAGTGGGGAGGGGTCCCTGTTACTGCTACGGACACCAACAACTCCCCTTCACGCGGGCAGCTTAAGGTTTACAAGGGTTTTCCTCACAACCCCATTTTACAGATGAGGAAACTGAGGCTGAGTTAAGTGACCTGCCCAAGGTCACAGAGCTGAGGACTCCAACTCAGGCCTCCTAACTCTAAGGCAGGCTCTTTCTCCACTACTTGATGTGTCCTTCTCCTAAAGAGCCAAACTGAAGGAGGACAAGGGGAGGGGGACACTCACTCTTCAGTATCGTTCTTGATTCCCAGCCACTCATTAATCTTCTTCTGCCGGGCTCCCTTCTGGGTGAGCCACCTGCCAGGTCAGGAGAGAAGAGCCGTCATACCTCATGCCCAACCAGCCTCTGGCTTTTATCAAAGGTCTTTCCCATTCACAGGCTTTATCTGTGTCAAGGAGGGAGGCAAGACGGGAGATTACCACCCCCATTTCACAAACAGAAACAGAGGTCACAAAGGTCTGTGGGTCACAAAGCAATAAAGAACTGGAACCACAAAAGAGGTGCCCGTCCTCCCGGGGACACAGCTGAACAGATAATGATGTACGAGTGAGATGGAATGCCTTTGTGCCATGTAAGATCTGATGGAAGAGATGGGTTCAGAGAAGCCGGCGAGATCTGAATGACTGAAGCAGAGCAAGGGGGACAGAACCAGGACAGCAATTCCCACAATGACATTCAACGGCATCATAAAGACAAACTCTGAAAGTCTAAAGAACTCTCATGGATGCCGGGCCAGCCACGATTCCAGAGGCCCACCCCCAGCAGAGGGCTAACGCCCTCAGGGGGTGGGACGAGACACTGTTTTGGACGTGAGCAATGCAGGGATTTGTTTTGTCTGACGCTGCACATTTGTTACAAGGGTTGTGTGAGGGAGAGAGAGACAATTGATTTTTATTAATTGAAAAAAATGAAATGAAATTTTAAAAAGCACTTGGTCAGGGGAGGGCAAGCAGGAACATATGGAAAGATGGATCTGGAAGAGACTAGAACAGAGAACAGAAGCTACAGAAGGGTGAGAAGGGATCATTAAGTGTTATCATTAACATCATCCATGTTATCCTAAGTGTTATCAAAGATCATCAAGTTCAATCTTCACATTTGATGAAGGATGTTGCTGAGACCCAGAAGGGGGAAGGGAGCCGGTCCAAAGTCACCGAGAAATGGCTATCTAGCCCAATGCATGGTTGGAAAAGAAGCACTCCCACCCCCACCCCCACCACAGCCTTTCTCCAACAACCGCTCATCCAGCTGGGAGCCTGATGAATAAGCAAGAATGCAGGGATCTCCTAGGTCCGCTTTCTTAATGATTTCTTAATGTTTTTCCAGACCTCAAATGGTCTCTCTGTAATGTCCATCTACTGCCTCCAAGGCTGCTGATCCTAGCTCTGGCCTCTGGGAACAAAACAGACCAAACCTAATCCCCCTAGCACACAGCCCTTCAAACACCCGAAGGCATTTTTCACATCCTCCCTAAGATTATTCTCCTTTAGACTAAACACTCCCAGTTACGTCAGTGAAGTGTCTACAGATCACAGGTCTGGAGCAAGAAGGGATCCATGGGCCTCCCACTGGACCCATTTACTTCTCTGCACCAATGGCGCTAGAGAACATTCAACCAGGTGAGTCTATACATGATTGTTCAAGCAGAAGGGTTCTAATTAACTAGAGAGGGTGGAGATTAGGAGGGGCTTCCTGGAGGAGGTGGCCTGTGAGCTGAGCCTTGAAGGAAGGGAGAAGGGAAAACTTTCCAGCCATATAGGGACAGGTGAGGAAACTGAGGTACGCAGACATTATCTGACTCATTTGAAACCACCCAGGTAGTAAATAGCACAGCTAGGATTCTAACCCTGGTCCTCTGAATCCAGAGTCACAAACTTAAGGCCTTTAACCAACCTGGCTTCCTGAAGCATCTAGAGGACTCTTATCAATATTCCCAGCTTATCAATATTCTTCCCTAAACTAGATAGTCAGGAACTGAACACAACAGTCGTACTCCAGAGAGGGTCTAACCCAGACAAAATCCAGTTACGCCCTCAGTAAACCAACCTTAAATTACATCAGCCACACCACATGCACAGTTAGGACTGGTTTATCCTTTGTATTATATCCCCAGAACCTAACAGAGTGCCTGGCATACCTGAAGCGCTTAATAAATGCTTATGGTGACTGAGCTCCTGGGCCATTCAAATTTCTGGACTGGTTTGAGACAAACCCTAGGGGTTACAGTTTGCCTAGTAATTAAGATAAGGTACCACCAGGAAAAGTTGCAACCATTTCCTCCCTTCCCCCTCAGGGGTAAGTCAGCCTCCTGAGGGCAGATTTCACAAACCTCCCAGATAAGAGCAAACATTCCCCACCAACCACCACACAGACAGACACAGACACACACACACACACACATTCGTATTCTCATTCTCTCTCTCTCTCCCTCTCTCTCTCTCTCTCTTTCTAAACACACACACACACACACACTCACACACACACACACTCATTCTCTCTCTCTCTACACACACTTATTCTCTCTCTCTCTATAAATACACACACGCACATGTACACACACACTCATTCTCTCCACACAACACACACACACACACACACACTCTTTCTCTCTCTCTACACACACACATTCTCTCTCTCCACACACACACCACACACACACACACACTCTTATTCTCTCCACACACACACACACACACACGCACACACATACACATTCTTATTCTCTCTACACACACACACACACACACACACACCACACACACACACACACACACACACACACTTTTATTCTCCATGCCACCCCATGGCCCACTCCTGATGGTGGCAGGCACACACTGAAGGAAGGTCCCTGCCCTGGAGGGGTCTGGGCGGGACAGATGCCCTGATGGGGAAGGACGCTGAAGGCAGCTGCGGCTGGGTGCACTGCTAGCCAGCGGCCACAAGGAGGCAGGCTCCCCCCAGGCCCCGAGGTCTAGAGCAGGGCTGGGAGGGGACACTCACACTAGGTACTGGTCCCGGATTTTCCGTAGCTGCATGAGGTCAGGCTTGAGGCTGTTCATGCGTTTGTCTATCTCTCGGTTGTCGGCTGCCTGGGCCCGCAGGTCCTGCTCCAGCTTCATTTTGCTGTCGTGAATCTCTGCTATTCGGGACTTGAGCTTCTCAGAATTCATCAGGATCCTGGAAGGGAGGTAGGTGGGGGTCTTACAGAATCCTAGCCCACAAGACCCTCAGGACACAGCACGTGGGTGTCAGAGACCACCTAGTGTAACACACTCACTCTACAGACTGGGAAACAGAGAGGTCCTCACTTTTTCAAGGTCACAAAGGGAAGCCTGTGGAGGTCGAGAGCAGAAGGGAAAGAATGGGGCAGCAGGTGGACAGCAGGGGGGAGCGCCCTGGGGAAAAGCGACCCTAGGGTTGTGGGAGGATACGGAGGCAGGAGAAATATCCAGGTCAGGGTGGGTAGACAGGGAGAGAAAAGGGGGTGTGGGGGTCCAGACAAAGGGAACGGTGAGAGGCAAACAAGCCCAGGCAAGGAGAGGCGATGAGTAGAGAAGGAAGGGGCCCAAAGCCGCCCCCAACCCCGCCCAGCAATCCCCGGCCACCCTGGGCTGTCGCTCACCGCTGAATCTCCTTCTCATTGCCCTCTCGCCGGAAGCGTTCCAGGTAATCCTTGCTGCACTTTTCCTGTGTCTGGCCCTGCTCCTCAAAGATTTTGATGGTCTCGTTGAAGGCCTCGATGGCTGTGCGCTTCATCTGCAGCTCCTGGGGATGGGGAGAGGTTGGGGGGGGTGTTGGAGCTTTGCCTTTCCTTCCCGGGCAGAGGCAGCAGCAGCAGGGGCCCAGCCCAGCGCGGCCTGGCTGTGCCTGCACTTCCCCCACATCTTAGCGGCCTACCCCCTCCCTTTAGGGAAAGGCCACAGGAACAGGACTGAATGAGCTCTTCAGGGAAGAGATGACCGTCCTGTAAAGCACGGTAAGCAGAGCTGGAAAGGTGTCCAGAAATTCCTTCCCAGTGCTCAATTTCATCGAAATTTAGAGCTCTGTCTCATAGGCTCTCAATGCTGGGAGGGCCCTTAGAACCCAGGATGTCAGAGCTGGGAGGGCCCTTAGAACCCAGAATGTCAGATCTAGGAGGGCCCTCGGAACCCAGGGTATCAGAACTGGGAGGACCCTTAGAACCCAGAATGTCAGAGCTGGGAGGACCCTTGGAACCCAGAATGTTAGAGCGGAGAGGGTCCTTAGAACACAGGATGTCAGAGTTGGGATGGTCCTTAGAACACAGAACATTAGAGCTGGAAGGGCCCTTAAATGTTATCAAATTCATGATTACAAATAGGGAAACTGAGGCCTCCAAAAGGAAAAGGAACTAACAGGAGGAGGTCCCACAGTAAGTCCAGCAGAGCAGGCCTCACACTCAGCTTTCCTGACTCTCCCGTTCACTGTTCTCCCCATTCCACCAGACTTTCTTGCTATTGTTCTGGGTGCTGTAGGGTAGGAAGGGATTTGGCCAGGTAACATTTATTTAGTGTACTTTAAAGTTTACATTTATCATTTACATTCATCCTTGTTTGGGGATACTTTTTGGAATACTTGCTATAACCCTAAGGGATAGGCACTATAGTAATTACCCCCATTTTACAGATGAGGAAGCTGAGAAGGACATTGCCTAATGCTGCGCTGAAGTTGTCTTTTGTAATTTATTCATCCATTCAGTCCTCACGATGCCCACGCCAGGAGGCAAGGCGTGGTGCCTGATACTGGGCCCTCTCCATCCTCATTCCGAGCATATTCTAGGAACCTGGGCCAGGATCTGGGAGGCTGCAGCGACACCCGACCCCCAGCCCTGCTCTGCTGCGAACCCCGGGTTTGGTCACGGGCCCCAGTCCCGGAGGTCGGCCCTGCCCCGACGCCCCCACAACCCTCAGTATTTTCAGAGTCAGGCTCCCAGGGGCAGAGGAGGGACACGTGGGATACCTGGGAAGTACGGGTATATTCCTCATAGAGCAGGTCATATTCTCGGCTCTTGTCCTGGTACTGCTGATGATAAACCTTCAGCTGTTCACCAACGGCCTCGATGCTGTCCTCCTTCACCACCTGGTCCTGGGGGCAGGGGGCAGAGTGAGGCAGGTGAGCTCTCTGGAACCAATCTGGGCCCGACAGGCCCTGAACAGGCCCTAACCTTTTTTTTTGTTTTTGTTTTTTTGGTGAGGCAATGGGGGGGTTAAGTGACTTGCCTAGGGTCACACAGCTCGTAAGTATCACATGTCTGAGGCTGGATTTGAACTCAGGTCCTCCTGACTCCAAGCCAGCATGATGATAACAGTGCGCATTTGGTTAGCAATTTTAAGTGCTTTATACACATCATCTCATCTGATCAACAGATAAACTCTGACCACAGAGGGGAAGGGATTTGCCAGAAGTCACCAGGAATCAGAGGAAAAGCAAGTCAGTCCAATCCAAAAAGGCAATAATTAAGCACCCACTAGGTTCTAGGTACTGTGAGAAGAGAGAGAAAGCAAAACTCAGTGCCTGCCCTCAGGGAGCTTCCATTCCACTGTCTAAAAAAACAAGACAGGACAGTAGTTGACATCACACAGCCTTAGAGTAAGAAGGCACCTTAAGGAGCACCCAGTCCAAGCCCCCCATTTTACAGATGAGAAAACCCCGAGAGGTTAGAGGCCTTGCCCAACACTGCCCAAGTATTCGCTCACGCTTTCGTCAGGAGGCGGCACATGAACTAAGTGAGCACTGATGGAAGCTAAGGCTTCTAAGAGAGAGGTGAGGGGGAGTGCCTTGCAGCCATGGGGGCACAGCCAGTGCAAAGACCCCGTGGTGGGAGATGGAGGTTCCAGATGACACAAAGCTGACAGCAGCTGGCTAATACTCTGACCAATAAACTCAGGGTCCAAAAAAGACGCACGGGTTATGTTTCTAGCTATTTCACACGCTGTCTCCCTCATTATAGCGTATGCTCCTTGGGGCAGGAACTCTGCTTTTGCCTTTCTTTGTCTCTCTGGTGCTTAGCATGATGCCTGGAACACAGCAGGTGCTCAATGACTAGCACACGGTAGGTGCTTAATGAATTTTTGCTGATAGGGAAAGACAGAATGTAATGGGCATAATGTAAAATAAAAAAAATTGGTTGTTTAGCTGTGGCTGTGGCTAGCAAGCAGTCCGAGCTGAGCTCCGCAGGCCCCTGGTCGTTCCCAGTGCACTAGTTGCGCCCCCTCCCCTCCCGGGCAGGACCTCGTCCATCCCCAGACCTGCTGATGCTTGGACACGGGATAGAGCAGCCGAGTGTCCAGCTTGGCATTGTACTGGGCCAGCGACTCGTGTCTGTAGTGGGTGATGAGCTCCACCACGGAGCCAAAGGTCAGGGGCTCGGAGAAGCCGTACTGCCCATCTCGGTGGAAGACTTTGATCAGTTTGTTATTACCGCCCTTCCTGTAGAAGGTAGACGGGGGTCAGGAGCCGGACAAGGCCGGACCACCTCGGGGTCCTGACGGCCCCCCAGGAGGGACGTGGCGAGGCCACGTGGTCACACCTGCGGCCTAGCCTCCCTTGTCACTCTGGGACACTTCCTAAGCTCCCCGCCCCCTTTCCCTGATGGCATTCCTGCAGACCCCACATCGCCAGCCCCACCTTCCCGGGAGCCAGAGCTGCAGAGGACGGCTTGCCAGTTTACAGCTGGGGAAACAGACGGGGCTCCAGGTTGCCAAGCTGGGGAGCCAGGATGTGGACCCCCTTAGATTCCCTAGAGCCCCAGTACCTGAGGGTCAGCGTGTATTCACCCTGGATCTTGCTAGATGCGTCCCGGACGAGGAAGGTACCATCTGGAGTGTCACGAAGTTTCTCATTCACCTCTTCCCTGCAGAGAGGGGGGAGGGGGCTGGATCTTAAGCCAGAGGGGTCTATCCCTGGCCAGATGCCCACAATGCCTTCCTTTTGGGCTGCTAGCAAACCCCCAGCCCACAGAATCATCCTCACCTTGCCCTGGCCCCAGTCACCACCTCACTCTCTCTCTCTTCTCTCTCTCTCTCTCTCTCTCTCTCTCTGTCTCTCCCTCCCCTAGGTCCAGATCTCAAAGCTCACACCAGCCCCATAAGCAATACAGCATGGACTCCAACACCATGCCCATTATACAGAGGGGAAAACCGAGACCCAGAGAGGGAAAACAAAAGTTCCTCTCATCGCTCACGGAGTTAAGACCAGGACTGCTCCTCCCCTTTCCCAAGTTGGCAGTTTCCACGTTACCTGGAAATGTCGCCCCAATACCACTCAGCTTCCTGAAGGGGGGCGTGGCTTCCATTAGACAAGCTACCAGCCTGGACCTTGGGTTTGGGAGGCTTTGGGGGTAGGGCTGGAATAAAAGCAGGCTAACATCAGACCAGGATGTCCTGGGCCCGTTTTACCTCTAGCCAGGATCCCCTGATGCACCCCCTCCCTATCAGGGCCCTAAGCCCTCCCCGGTTGGAAGAGAGTCATTTTACAAGATGAGGAAACTGAGGTCCGAAGGGCTCCGTGACTCGCCCAGTGTTACACAGCTTGTAAGAACAGTGAGGGAGGGTACACAGCCAGGGCTTCCTGCCCAGTGCTCCAGCCACTATAGCAGGCTGCTCTTCCGAGGCAGGTCACTGGACGGAGGGCCCACGGACTGACCAGAAGGGGTTTCAGGGGCCTTTACCTGGGGGCACTGGCTCCTCCTCCTCCTCCTCCTGCTCCTGTAGCAGCATTTCCAGGAACAGAGCCGAGAAGTCAGGGGTCTGCTCAGGCCTGGGGCAGAAGCAAGGTCAGGGCCAAGGTGTTGGTGTCCCTTCCTGCGCCCACCCTCTGCTCACCTCCAGCCTCCCTCCCTCTGTCCATCACCTGCCCTCTCTCCATCACTGTCCTCCTTTCTTTCCTCTCCCCTTCTCTCTCTTCCTTCCTTCTTTCCTCCCTCCTTCTCTCCCTTCCTTCCTTCTCTTTTTTCCTTCCTTCTCTTCCTCCTTTCTTCCCTCTTTCCTTTCTTCCTCTTTCCTTCCTTCTTCCCTCTCTTCTTTCCTTCCTTCCCTTCCTACTTTCTTTCCTTCCTGTCTCCCCTCCCTTCCTACCTCTTTCCTTTCTTCTTTCTTCTCCTTCCTTCTTCCCTCCCTTCTTTCCTCCCTCCTTCTCTCCCTTCCTTCCTTCCTTCTCTTTTTTCCTTCCTCTCTCCCCTCCTTTCTTCCCTCTTTCCTTTCTTCCTTCTCTCCTTTCCTTTCTTCTTCCCTCTCCTTTCCTTCCTTCCCTTCTTACTTTCTTTCTTTCCTCTCTCCCCTCCCTTCCTCCTTCCCTCCTTCTCTTCTTTCCTTCTTCCTTCTCTTCTTTCCTTCCTTCCCTTCCTCTCTCCCCCCTCTTTCCTTCCTCCCTTCTCTCCCCTCCCTCCTTCTTCCTTCTCTTCCTTCCTCTCCCCCATCTCCCTCAGTTCTTGCTTCCTCCCTCTCTATGCACCTAGCCTTCCATCCCCTCCTCCGCATTTTGGTCATGTACAGACATACCCAGTGGCCGGCAGCCGAAGGAGGAGAGGTCCAAAGATCTCTGAGAGGGCCCGGGGGCCCAGGCCGCTGCCCTGGGCTTGGGCCTGGGCCTGCCGGGCCACCCTCCGCAGGTGCTGGAGCAGGAAGCGCAGAGTCAGGGCGTTGTGCAGGGGCACCAGGGGAGGCTCCAGCACTGCCTGCAGCTGCTGCCTCCTCCATCCCGCTGATGCCGCCGCTGAGGCTGGACCGGCTATCTCTGAGGAGGGACGGGTAGGGCGTGCGTCACTGGGGTCTGCTCAGCCTCCCAGACCCTTCCCCAAACCAACCAACCAGGGCCTACGGGGATCCCCACGGCCACAGGCACCTGGCTGGCCCAAGGTCAGCCCTTTCCTCCTCCTTCGTCCCAACCTGCTCCCACCTCCCTGCTCAAGGGACCTGAGAGTTCCTGCTCAAGTGACTGTCGAGACAATCATAGGGGACTCACCCTGCAAGGCATGAAGCATATCTCCATGGGCTCCAGGTGGCACAAGGGGCCTGGGCAAAGCTTGTAGGTAGCCCTTCAGGGCCTCAGAAAGGGTGGCCACATCCCACTGATCCACGTCACTCAGAGTCCAGTCTACCACGGGGCCAGGAACATGGGGAAGGGAATGGTTGCTTCCTGTCCCAGGGGCCAAGTTGCATCCTTCCCTCCCTACCCTACCCCGCTCAGCTTCAAGCATCAGATCTTGGGATCACACCTCGCCATGAGCCTTCATCTTCTGGAGCTCAACACACAGCCACACGGGCGCCTCCCAGACCCTCCCCACTTGCCCTAAGACTCCAACCTCTGGAGGGAGGGGAAGATAAGAAGGGGGAGCAAGCACCCAAAGAAGGATGTCCCTCACCAATTCTGAGTGGCCGCATCGCACAACCAGATGGTCTATAGAGCATCTCGCTGTCCAGCCCTGCAGAAGGAAGGTCCGAGTAACATCAAACAAACCAATCCTTAGCGAGCTTCTCCTCAGCAGGGTGTGGGACAAAGGTCGGACAGGGGTGTCAGAAACCACTTCAGATAACTTCCTGAGGGTGAGCTGGAGGTCAGCGGGGAGGAGCACCAGCCAAGGAAGTTCAGGAGAGAGGACAGGCGCTGGCTCTTAGAACAAGAAGAAAGACTGAGGCGAGAAAAGGAGCCAAGGAGTCTGGAGCTCAGAAAGGTCTGGACGGAAGGAATGAGGCCTCCAGGTGCCACAGAGGACAGGCTGGTGGGCCTGGAGTCGGGAAGGCCCGAGCTCAAATCCCACAACAAACATTTCCTAGCTCTGGGGCCCAGGGAGCGAGTCTCTTAACCTCAGTTTGCCTTAGTTTCCTCATCTACAAAACGGGGATAACAATAGCACCTACTTCCCAGGGTTGCTGTGAGGATCAAAGGAGACAGTATCTGCAAAGGGCCTGCACAGTACCCGGCACACAGCAGGTGCTCCATACATGCTTACTGCTCTCCCTCCCTTTCTAGCAATGAGTGACTGCTGAGATTCTGGTGACTTTACCCACCATCCCTGGGAAGGTGGAAGAGAATGGGGAGGGAGGAGGGCTGAGAGAGCTCCTGGGTACAAAGCCCCCTCACCTTTGTGTTCAATGGCTTCCACCAACTTCTGAAGGATGGGCGGTGCTGCCTCGGGAGGGACAAACTGCTCCGGCAGGTCAGGGAGCAGGGTACCAGCTGGCAAGGGAGGAGAAGAACTTTATGGCTACGAAGTGGCTGCCCCGAGCCAGGGGTGGGCAGACCCAGGAAGTCATTCCCGTTCGCCCTGAAGAAGGTGGACGGCCCTTGAGAGAAGCGGTTGGGGAGGGGGTGCCAGAAGACCCAACCAGGGCAGAAACCCCAGCACCAAGACCAAGGGTGAGACCCCAGGGTCAGGGCCTAGACCAAGAAAGAAGAAAAGTCTGTTCTCCTGAGAGGAAGGGAATAGACACTTTAAAGCCTCCAGAGGGCCTAATGCCCTTCAAATAGTTCATGGTCACCCCCCTCACCAGGATTATTTGAACAGACTTCTCTTTATTTTTTTTTTGTGAGGCAATTGGGATTAAGTGACTTGCCCAGGGCCACACAGCTAGTAAGTGACAAGCATCTGAGGCCGGATTTGAACTCAGGTCCTCCCGACTCCAAGGCCGGAGCTCTATCCACTGCGCCCTGAACAGACTTCTAATCATCCTCCCTGACTCTGGTCTCTCCCTCCAGTAATCTTTTTTTTTTAAATAAATTTTTATTGATATCTTTTATTTTTAAATTTCCTCCTGTGTCCCTCTCCCTCCCTCAGTCATCCCATATAACAAAGACTGCTTAAAAAACAAAAAAAACAAACAAAAATGGAACAGCCAGGTGTACAGTGGATAAAGCACTAGCCCTGGAGTCAGAAGGACCTGAGTTCAAATCTGGCCTCAGATACGTCGTACCTGTGTGACCCTGGGTAAATCACTTAACTCTGACTGGCTCTCCAAAATAAATAAAATTAAAGTTAAAATAAAAAAGAAGAGGAAAAAACCCTAGCATAATTGATCACTACTTTGAATAAAGGCTAATGCAATGGCCCCCACCCTTGCAGCCTCCATCTCCACAATCCATGTTTGACAGCAGGGTCAACTCTGGTCTGATCCATCCCAGCTCTGCCTCAACCTATCCTTACATCCTGATTTATACACGACTTCCCTTCTTGCTCACCTATGTTACATACACGACTTCCCTCCTGTTCAGCCAAACTGGCCTTCTATCCTTCATGCACAGGCCACACCTTTGCACTGGCTGTGCCCCACACCAGGAATGCAAGACCCTCCTCATCTCAGTTTCTTTCAAAACTCGGCTTTAGGGACACCTTCCCAGGTAGCCTTTCCTGATCCATTCCCAGATGTTTTTGTCATCACCCCACCATTTTTTTTTGCTAGGTATTCATCTTGTAATAGTGATTTATATACATGCTATACCCCAAAAGAATGTAAACTCCCTGAGGGTAAGGCTATTTCATGCCTACTCCACTGCCCATGACACAATAGGGGCTTAGTAAATGCTGACTGTGTGACTGATCGAATGACTCTTTCACTGGAAAGACAGGTTGGGGCCAATACCGTATGTTGCTGCAGACAACAGGGAGCCGTGGGAGTTTGAGTAGGGGAGTGACATGGTCAGATTGGGGCTTACGGGAAAAAAATCACTTTGGCAGCTGTGAAACAACATGGAGCCACGTACAAAATGTGGGGGCTTACCACTCGAGACAACCTTCCAAACTGATTCTAAACAATTCTTTTTGGGGGGAGAGGCAAAACGGGGTACTGGATAGAGCCTTCCAGTCTGGAAGAAAAGAGTTCGAATTTCATCTCTGACACATAGTAACTGTGTGACCCTGGGGGAAGTAACTTCATAGCTCAGAGCCTCAGTTTCCCCAACTATAAAATGGTCAATAATAATAACTCCCCCACCTCATGAGATAATAATCGTAAAGCGCTTAGTATCATGCCTGGCACACAGTAGGCGCCACACAAACATTTGCTAGGATGATTACATTGACTACGTAACTGTGGGCATGCTGCCTCACATTTCTGAGCCTCAGTTTCCCCAACTATGAAATGGGGATAGTAACAGCATTCCCACCTCCACACTCTCCATGTTGTTGCATGGATCAAATGAGACAATAATTGTAAAGCACTTAGCACAAGCCTGGCACACAGTAGGGGCTACATGAAGATTAGCTATGATTATTACTGTTGTTGCTGTTAGGATGATTACCTTGGGTAAGCCATTTCTCTGACCCTCAGTTTCCTTATCTGTAAAAGGAGGACAATAATGCCTGTGGAATCTGCCTCCTGTGAGGACCAAATGTAGCAGACTGCTTTATAAACCTGAGAGCACAATAGAGGGTGTCCCCAAAGAATTCATGCAGTCTTACGCTCTGAAAGCTTGCAGGTGCACCAAGACTTTTGGGGACACCCTGGTTGCCCAGGGACTCTCACTATTATTACGATGGTCAGGATCCATCCATTCAGCTGGCTGCAGACCCACCTGACCGCACAGCCGGCTGGCCCCTGTCTCCCTCCATCTTTCCAAAAGGACAGCCCAAGACAACAAGCTAAACGCCATACCTGAGCCCAGGTAAATCACGCCAGTGGCATTCCCTGATCTGGGAAGGATGGGCCGGTACTGGGGATGGTCCATGTCCCCCCCCCCCACTACTGGTCCTCAAAGACTTCGTTGCTGTTTGGTCATTTCAGTCGCCTCTGACTCTCTGTGATTCTTTTTGGGGTTTTCTTGGCAAAGATACTACAGGTGCTCGCCGTTTCCTTTTCCGGCTCATTTCACAGATGAGGAAACCAAGGCAGACAGTGTTAAGTGACTCGCCCAGGGTCACCCAGCTAGGAAGTGTCTGAGGCCAGATCTGAACTCGGGCCTTCCTGGCCCCAGGCCTGGTATTCTATCCACCGAGTCACCCAGCTAGCTGCCCGTCTCAAAGACTGGATGACCGCTTTCTGAAGAATGCTTCAGAAAAGGTTACTTTAAAGGAACAGGTTAAAAAAGAAGGCCTCCTGGGACAGGAAGCCTGTCCATCCTAAAGGCTGTGATGGGAGAAGGACGAGAGAGCTGGCCACACAGGCTGGCGCGCTCTCCAGATCTGGGAAAAGATCTCCCCGGATTCAGAGAAAGGACAGGTCGGTCCCGTGGACCACAGCTAGCTCTTGGAGAGCAGCAACTGTCTTTTATCTTCCTGGGCATCCCTGGCACTTAGGAGGGCACTGGCACCTAGCAGGCAGGTTGCTTGCTGAATGACAGACCACAAGAAGAGTCAGTTGAGTACCTAGTAAACAGTGTGGGCATTTAATCAATGCTTACAGACTGACTGACAGCAGAATGCCTAGTACACAGTGGCACTTAACAAATGCTTGTCAACTGACTGACTACAGAAGTCCGCAGAGTGCTTGACAGCTAGCAGGCACTTAATAAATGCTTGTTGACTGACTACAGGTGAAATATCAGCAGAATACCTAGTACACAGTGGGCATTTAATAAATGCTTGTTGACTAGCTACAGGTGGAACCAGCAGAGTACCTAGTACACAGGAGGTGTTTAATAAATGCTTGTTCACTGACTGACTATACAGGAGAAGTCAGAAGAGTGCCTAGTCATTTAATAAGTGCCGGAGGAAAGGGAAACTCTCAAAAAGGAAATTCTGAGGATACAAACAGAAACAACCCTCTGAGGACAAAAAAGAGGAGGTGCCTGGTGCAATCTACCCAATCTAGTAAACGTGCATTAAGTTCTTACTGTATGTGGCACTATGAGCACAGAGATGAAACAAAGAACAATTTTTGCCCTGAGGGACTTTACACTGAAAATTAAAAAGACAGAGCGCTGGGCCAGGAGTCAGGAAGACCGGAGTTCAAATGCGAACTCAGACACTTACTAGCTGTGACCCTGGGCAAGTCACTTAACCCCAATGGCCTCCCCCCTCCCCCCCAAAAAAAAGAAATTTAAAAAGACACATATGTAGAGAAGATGGAGGCAAGAGAAGATGAGAAAATAACTGTAAAATGCTTAGCACAGTGCCAGCACACTACACGACTGTCAGCTATTATTCTTATGAGTACAAGAGCGTGGAAGGCTGCTTGCTAGACGCATAATGCCCCTTGGGCTAAGTCTCAGAATGAGCAGGGGCTGTGGAGGAAAGCCCAGGATAACAGAAAGGGCTTTTCGTTGCCGCTATACAGGGAGAAGATGACGAAAGCAGGAGGAGACAGATGCTCAGGGGGACAAGATGAACAGACTGTTTTCCTGGTCCGGCTGACTTCCCCCCACATCACCTCATTCATAGTCACTATTGCTTCCGATACAATAGCATCCTACAATATTCACATGGCACAGTTTATTTAGCCATTCCCTAATCAATGGGTTCTTCTGGATGGGATGGTAATGACTGCCAGAGAGAAAACTGAACTGCTCTGAACGTTAGATTGGGAAAGGACGGTACAAAAATGGCTGAGGGAACATTGATAATTGAGATGAAGTGAGGAGCAAGTAAGAGCCCCAGCTGTCTCGTCTGTCTGTGCTGCGCTCGTGACTGTGCCCCTGCTGAACCATGTCCTTAGGTATACCGGGAACTGGTGGACATGCCTGCCTGAGCTGCCATCAGGGACCTCTGAAAGAGCAGGAGAATTGGCGAAGAGACCACAGGATGGGAGCAAGGCAAATGCACCATCTATCAAAAAAAAAAGTGGTGGGGGAAAGAGAATGGACTGCGTAAACTGCAGGTCAGGGTGCTGGATTTCATTTCTGGGCCAAACTGTATTATTAAAGAGATGGCCAATGAGTATCAAGAAAGGGGGTCCCTATATTAGATTGCTTACTGTCTTGGGAAGGGGCTGAGGGAGAAAAAAGTCTGGAACTCAAAATCTTATAAAAGTGAATGCTGAAAACCATCTCTATATGTAATTGGAAAAAATAAAATATTATTAAATGGAAAATAAAAGGAAAAAAAAAAAGAAAAAAGAAAGGGCATCCCAAAGAGCCAGGTCAGGCCAGAATGCGTTACCACCTTTCTGATGGGCTTTCTAAAAGTGGCAATGCGGTGGCTAGAATTTACTTGGATTTTTTTTTTTGCAAGAGTTTGATAAAAATACCTCATGCTCTTCTTGAGGAAAAAACAGAGAAATAAGGATGGGATCTGGAGTCAGAAGAGCGGGGCTGGAGTTCTACCTTTGTGATGGACGATCTTGGTCAAGCCGGTTTCTGGACTCAGGTCTGAACTCAAGTGTAAAGTGGAGGAGACAGACCAGATGACTTCTGAGCAGTGCCAAGTGTCCCCCTGTGCCCGGACCGCTCCGCCCCTTCACCGCCACCTCTGCCTTGCTTGTAGATGCAGCTCAAAGCCTCCCTCCCACAGGAGGCCTCTGCCATGAGACCACCTTCCACGAGTCTGCATCTATTGGCTGTTCAGTTATCGTCCCTGTTGCCTTCCTACTGATCTGAATCCTTCAAAGGCAAGGCCCGTGTTTTTGCCTTTTTTTGTATCACCAGCGCTTAGCATCGTGCCTGGGACCCAGTCAGCCCTCTGCTGGAAGACCAGCCAGAAGGGGCACCCACCGCCTCTCCAAGAAGCCCTTTGGGACAGCTCCGCTGCTGAGATCTTCCTGGCATCTTGCCTCGACTGGCCAATCTGCAGCTTTCAGCCGTGGCTTCTGGGGTCAATGGCACACATGCAGTGCCTCTGCCAATGATGGACCTTCCGACATCTGAAGACAGCTGTCACATCTCCCCTCTAATCCCCCATCTTCCCTTTTCCAGGCTAAACATCCCAGTTACTTTGCCGATCCTAGGACCATGTAGAACTAGGAGTAAGGTGCAGAAATCGCTGTGGTGGCTTGCTGCTCCATGCCAGGAAAAACTTTCTAACAATGGGAGTTGTCCCAGAGTGGAACAGGCTGCCCCTGGAGGAAGAGATCCCGCCTTGCTCCAGGTCTTCAAGCAGATGTCGGATGACTATTATGGACTGGCTATGTTTGGTGGCAGGGTTCGGCTGAACTAGAGGCCCTGGAGGTCTTTTCTCGAATTCTATGAGCCTGGCGCATCTCTGATGTGCTTGATAATAGGGCCAGAGGATTTAGAGATGGGAAAGAGACTGGGAATGTAAACAATTAGTACAGGAAGGGCTGTTAGAACCCAGAATGTCAGAGATGGGAGGGCCCTTAGAACCCAGGATGTCAGAGATGGGAGGGCCCTTAGAACCCAGGATGGAAGGGCTGAGAGGCCTCTAGAACCCAGAACGTCATAGCTGGGGGGGGGCCTCTAGAACCCAGAATGTCAGAGCTGGGAGGGGCCTTAGAACCCAGGACATCAAAGACATAATGCAGACTGTCAATCCAGAATGTTTCCTCATTTTCAGACAGAGCAGAGGCCCACAGGGACAGTGACTTATGTCTAGCTAGGCTCTGTATCCCAAAGGTTTCCTATTCCCAGGGCAGGGTTCTCTATACCTCCACCTCACTGCCCACCCTCCTCACTCTATGTGCCATGCCCAGGACCCAAGACTGCTTCAGTTTCAGATCTTCCAGTTTCAAGTTCCTGGAACTCACTTTGCACCCCCTCCCCCCAGTAACCCCACCCCCCACCTCCGCTCCCAGGAAGGGAGTCATCCCGTTCCTTTCCAGACTGGCTGTTACCAGGGAGGGGAAAAAACCCTGGCAGGAGGCCCAAAGAAGCAGGGGGGAGGGAGCCCTTGGCACGGAGATACTCAGGGTGAGGGGCCCCATGGAACCAGGGAGATCCAAACCCCACCCACCCGATGGCCTGGAAACCTAAGAGGCATTGAGGGGGAAGGGCATGGTGGGAGCGGGGTAAAAGCTTTTATAGGAGAGGTATTCCAGCTGCCAAGGGCAGAAGGCAACCGTGGTGACCCCGGCAGAAAGTCTCTGGGGGCTGGGGGGTTGGGGGGACATCATCCCACGCGAGAGCTTCCTTCATCCCCAACCCTGCTCCAGGAATGTGCTGTGTCAGCAGAACCCCGGGCCTCCTCCCCTCCCCCTCCCCATTTCCCCCCAGATCCTGCTCCAATCTCAATATGTTTCCTGCCAATTCTGTCTCCAGGGAGCTCAGGAAAAAGAAAAAGAGAGAAAGAGGGGAAGGGGAGAGAGAGAGAGAGAAACACACACACACACACCTGCACAGTCTAAAAGCCTGAGTGTGACTAGACTTTGCTACTTCAAGCCAGGTGATACTGTAGTTTACTCCATTGTAAAAGGAAGGGTTGAATTAGGTGATCGTAAGATCATAGACTCAGAGCTGGGAGGGCCCCTGGAGGCTGTTGAGCCCAACCTCCTCCTCTTACACATGAGGAAACCAAGGCCTGGAGGTGTGAAGTGACTTGTTCAAGGTCACAAATGCAGTGACGGTGCTGGGATTTGACCTCTGATCCCTAAAGTTTCTCCCAGCTCTGACATCCTGGGTTCTAAGGGACCTCCCAGCTCTGATACCCTGGGTTCTAAGGACCCTCCCAGCTCTGACACCCTGGGTTCTAAGGGACCTCCCAGATCTGACACCCTGGGTTCTAAGGGACCTCCCAGCTCAGACATTCTGGGTTCTAAGAGTCCTCTCAGCTCTGACATCCTGGATTCTAAGGGTCCTCTCAGCTCTGACATCCTGGGTTCTAAGGGCCCTCCCAGTTCAGACATTCTGGGTTCTAAGGGTCCTCTCAGCTCTGACATCCTGAGTTCTGAGGGCCCTCCCAGTTCAGACATCCTGGGTTCTAAGGGCCCTACCAGATCTGATATTGTGTTCTAAGGCAGGCACCTCCTCCAGCGGCCTGGGCTATCCTAATTACCAGCTTCATGCTTCATGATTCCAGAGCCTTTCCTCTCCACGGCTTTGGGACATGGGTAGGAACTGTGACCAGGTAAGGGAAAGGTGATGCCCAGCTCCACCCCGGCCATCTTCTACCAAGGAACCTCTGAAGTGTGGCCTTGCCTATTCTCCCATCTCCCCTTTGTCCCTTTACCTCCTCTCCACTCTGCCAGGGCCAGGTGCAGAGAACCTGGGCAAAGTCCTGTGGAGCTGTTGGCATCTGCCCTCGCCCATTCCATCCCGCTCTCCTCTGATGGCCCGCCACTATGGGGCCCCAATCTGGCCCTGCAACAAGCCTGTCTTTCAGTAGCAGAAGCAGTCTCTTTGTCCAGATACCTCCACTGCCAGAATCCAGCAGGCGGGTGTAACCAAAGGGCCTGGAGCCAGACTCAAACCCTGTGCTCTCTGCACCACGGGTGGCTATCTCTCACTTCTGTTGTTGTTATTATATGAATAGCATTTTATGGTTTGCAAAACATCTTACCCCAACCCTATGAGGTAGGGAGCACAATTTATTTTTGTTTCCATTTTACAGATGAAGAAACTGAGGCGCAGAGAGGTTGCTTCCAGCTAGGAAGCATCAGGGTGGGATTTGAACCTAGTTTTCTCTGCACTCTGAGCAGCACACCACAAAGGCTCTCTCTCAACAGATGAAGCGCTTTCCACTCTCTTATATGGGCTTCCCAACCGCCCTATGAGGAAGGCAAGGCAAAGGTTACTCTTTCCCTCTGACAGAAAAGGAAACTGAGGCTCTGAGAGAACACACTTTTCCATGTGATCCTGCATAATATCTACCGATCCCCAGTCAAGAAGTGGCAGGAGGCTGGGTGGGGGCAGAATGACTAGGCTTTGGGAGGAAGGTCAGTGGTTCCAGAGTCCCCTCCCTGCCATGGCCTCCCTTCCCCTCTTGGCCACCGCTAAAGGGAAGGGAAAAGCTTCACTGAGTTTGGGCCCCTTGAGAAGGTACATCTGTCCTGTCCTGACAAGCCAGATGGGGTAGACTCGTTGGCAGAGAATGGGAAAGTCTGGGGCATGTCCCCGCAGAGCTGGGCAGGACCAGGCAGTGCCTGCTCCCATGGCAGGGAGAGCCAGCATAGGCTGGCCCAGCCCCTGGCCCTCCCTCCCCTCTGCCTCTTCCTCCAGGAAGCCCTTGCCTATTGCTCCAGGCCATGGAGCTCTCTCCCCTTTCCTTCTGGCAGCCAGCCACAGTGTAAAAACTCCAGATATAGAATCAGAGGCCTTGGGTTCCACCTGTGTGACCTTGGGGAATTTTCTTCCTTTCTCTGGACCTCAGTTTCCTCATGTGAAAAATCAAAGGGGATGGGACTACATAATCTCTCCTCCTAACATATTGTCCCATATTCTTCCAGCTCACTGGGGAGCCTGGAAGCTCTCTGAGGACAGGGCCTGGTTTTCTCCCATCACCCTCCCAGTATCCAGCATGGGACTCAGTAAAGAGCTGAGTCAGTAAGGACATGACCCCCCATGCTCTTGCTTTCTCCTCTGTAGGGGCCTCTGTACCAGCCTGGCCCATCCCTACCTTCTGCAGCCCTGCCCTGATAGGGAGAAAAATCAGCGAATCATCACCTTTCAGAGAAGGAAGGGTCCCCACAAGCCATCCAATCCAAAAAGGAATGAACTGCCCCCCTCCCCAGCCTCTGCCAATGAGGGGCTGACCTCCCCATCTCGAGGCAGTCCACTCCACTCTGGGACACACCACGCCTCAATCAGGCTCTCTGCCATATCCCCACAATGCAGCAGGGACTTACCTGGCTCAGGGGAGTCCCGGGGACGGACAGGCCCTGCCCCTGGCGTGGCCGGCAACGGCCTGTGGCCTCGGGGGCGGTGGGAGGGCAGGGCGATCTTCACAGGACCCAGATACTCCACATAAGTGCCTGGGAAGTCTCCCTTCTGCTTGGTACGCTCATTGACGCCGAGGATCCAGCCGATGTGGTGAGGGCTCTGCTCATCGCCATCCTGGAATCCGAGAGCCTCCAGCGTGCCCTTGCTCACTACGAGGATGTCGCCAGGGAGCAAGTCAAGGTCCTCCTCACGCTCCTTGTGGTACTGGTAAAGGGCCCGGTACTGGAAGCCCTCGGCGCTGCCCATGATGGCTGGGCGAGGAGAGGCAGCACCCCCCCCCCGGACCAAAGAAGACAGGAGCTCAGCTATGGGCCAACAGCCACATGGCGAGAGGGGTGGAGTGAGGAGGGGGTGGCAGTGTCAGCAGAGCGGGGCAGGGGGCCGGGGGCCCTAGCCACTTTTCCGCAGCTTGAAGCCCCGATTTAGCCAGATGATGGAGCAGAGGGCTAGTATCACCACCATACTCTGGACCTTGGGGGAGACGGGTTGCCTAGGCCCCAGGGAAGAATGTCTGTGCCCAGGAGGGGCCACGGCTCTGATTGGGAGCTGGGCGTCAGGACCTACAGGAGGAGACAGGAGGGAAAAAGACAGAGAAAGAGCTGTTAGTGCCAATACAAGGAGCCCAGAGGGGACCCAGGGCACGCACTCCCCCTAATCAGTCCAACACCAAACAGAATTCCAGAGATGGAAGGCAGCTAGTCTGTCCCAGAGACGGCAGGACTAAAAATTTACAACTGGAAGGGTCCTCAGACATCATCTAATCTGACCTCCTCATTTTACAGATGAGGAAACTGAGGCCCAGACAGAGGTTAAATGACTCACCTAAGGTCACACAGCTAGTGAGCTAGTCTGAAATTGGATTTGAACTCAGGTCTTCCTGACTCCACTTGTACTTGTCTCCCCAGTGCCTAGCACATAGTAGGTGCTTAACAAATGTTTTATGATACTGATTAATTCCAGTCCCAACTTTGCAACTCCCTATTTACATGACCTTGGACAAGTCACTTCTAGTTTTGTCTCAGTTTTCTCATCAGTAAAATGGGGAGAATATTTGTCCTACAGGTTTCACCCACTTGTTGCATATTATATATCTTAATATGATACTATATATCATATAAACATATGCTATTATCTATACCAAGGGTTCTTAATCTCTTTGGCAGCCTGGTGAATGAAGTCTACTCAGACTTCTCAGATGAATGATTTTAAATGCATAAAATAAAACACATAGGATTACAAAGGAGACCAGTTCTGATGAAATACAGTTATCAATCCTAAAAACACAAGTTCCCAGACTCCAGATCAAGAAGCCCTGATCTATGTATATGGCCTAAATTCCCAGACTTTGGCTTCTAACAGAGGAGATCACAGAGAGAATTTACAATGCCCGGGTAGGGGGCAGGCAGGGTTCCTCCTTCCCCTACAGCGTTACAAGGCCTAGAATTAATGCACTTTGGGGGAAGGACTCTGGCTCTTTGCCAGTGGGCCAAGGCATCCAGCCTAGCCCCTGTGAAGTAAGAATGGGGTACCCCTGATGGTGGAGCAGCAGCCTGGGGCAGAGGAAACAGGCCTGCTCAGCTTGGCTCCTGAGGCTAAAACCAGAAGCCAACACAGGGAACTTCAGAGGACGATTTTATCTCAACATAAAGAAAAACTCCCTGGTCGTCCGAGCTGCCCCAATGTGGCGTGGGCTGCCCATCACCGGAGGATGTCTTTCCTTCTCCTACCAGAGGTTTTTCAGGTCTAGAACACTGCTTCAGGTCGTGGTTGGCCTAGATACCCCTCCAGGGTCTTCCCACCTAACATTCCATGATCCCAGGGTCCCACCACAAACTGGGAAGTTGAATTCAGGATGGAGGAGCCAGCCGGCTCTCCAAACACCCCGGAAAGGAAACCAGGTTTAGAATCAGAGGGGCTGGGTGTGAATCTAGCACTTTTAGGTATAATACTCGGGCTCTCTGGGCCTTGATTTCCCCATCTGTAAAAGGGGGTCCCTTCTAGCTGTAAATGCTACGCTCTTAAGGAGCGGCTTTGGCCCCTATCCCAAACTGAAAGGAACAGCCAAGAACATGCTGACTCCCCACAGATGTTGAGGATGAACGGACGTGACACGGTTCACCCCTCCCTCTGACCCAGAGAGAGTGCCCCCTCTTCTCCCTGCCTTGCAACTACCACCCATGGGGAGAAGGGCCAGCTGGGGCCCAAGGCTCTTGAGGAAAAAAAATCACAGATTGGAGGTGTGGGGGCGGGGGGGATTATGGCAGCAGGAATCATTCATGAGAGTCAGAGCTGTGACGGAGACTGGCAAACCTGGAAAGGCAGAAGGAAGAACAAAGCCTTCAGCTTTGCAGGGTGACCTGGGGCCATACCTGGCTTCTGCCCTTGCAAGGGTCGCTTCCCCTATAACAGGAGGGGGGCCTGGACTGGCCTGGACATAGGCTTTATAGAACCTGTGACTTAGGAATTGAATGGAGAAGACTTTGGAGAGCATCCAGGCTGGGGCCTGCTCTGGGACCTCAGGCACATCCCTTCCCCTCCAACCTCTGTTTCCTTATCTTCTGTCTGTGACATTCTGAGTCTATGGATCCTGGCCCGGCTCCACACCCCCCACCCATACCCCCGAACCCCTCAGAAGCATCAGCCACGAGGCCACCCTCCCCATTCCCAACCCACATTTATGCAATTCATGGACACGCTCTCATGCTCACACGGTCCAACACAGTGGCATGCTCCCGAAAACCCACTCACACGTGTTTCTCCCATCGTCTCCTCACTCTTCCACACACATTCACACGTGCTCTGCATTCTCCCCCACCACCCTCACATTCTCGGGTGTTCTCCCATGCACACATGCATGCACACACAGACTCACATATGCAGGGCTCTTCTGAAGCATGCACACATGTACACTCAGCAGAGAAGAGCCAGCCTCATCATGCCTGCTGCAGGGGGAAGCTCTGAAGCCAAAGGGAGGGGAAGAGGCAGGCCCAGCTCTGTCTCTGGGTCCAAACCCATCCCAGGAGGCCCAATGCCAGCAGAGCCCTCTTGGAAGGGCTCTCAGCCAAGCCAAAGGCGGGGGAAGGGGGGAATGGAGAGCTGGGCACTTCAGCTTTCCCACCTCCCCCAGGCTAGGGCTTCCTGCCCCAAAGAGCATCTGTCTGCCTTGCTCCCCTGCTCCAAAAGGCCAAGGCTCCACATGTACCCAGGGCCCGTGGGCGGGAAGCAGAGATCTCAGGCCAGGATCTCTCTTTCTCTCACTCTCTGGAGGGATGCCCTCCTTCCTACTTCTCTTCCCTTCTAAACTTGGCCCTTCCTGTGCCGGACTTGGCCAGGCATGTTCAGGAAGAGGGTCCTGGACAGCTCAAGCATAGACTGTTCCCCCTGAATGGGTCCACAGGGGCACCCAGGCCCCAAGCATCAAGAGTCACAGCCTGAGCAGGTGACAGAAAGCATGGGGCTTAAGAGCTGGAAGGACCTTGGAACAACAGAAGGTGGACCCTCAGAGATGAAAGGAACCCCAGGACCCAGAACACAGCCTGTCTGAGCTGTGAGGGCCTCGAGACACTGATGGGCTAGTCCAACCACCTTATTTTCAAATGGAGAAACTGAGGCCAAGAGATATAAAGGGGCCTGCCCAGTGTCACTCGGCTAAGCAGGTATGCAGGATTCAAATCTGTGTCTTTTGACTCCCAGGCCAGAGTTCTTGTGCCAACAACACAGAGTCATTCACGTCAGGCCAGGGGGGCATGGGAGCAAGGAGAGAGGCTACGTGAATATATCAACCACCTCCTGGGGTGCCCCTCCGCAGCCTCACAGCAATGAAAATCCCTTCATTTTGCTCTGGGCATCCCACCCTTCCACAACACAGGCATGCAATATTCCAGCCAGTTAGCCCTGCTTTCATCCTGAACCCCATTTTCCTGCTTGAGCTCAGTTTCCCTATCCTGTCTTCTCCCTGACACATAAGAGGATGGACTCCCCAGACCTTTCCACATTACAGCTGGGGCCAGGCCCTCCCAAGTACAGCCCAGGCCAAGCACTCCTTTGTCCTCCCCACCCCTAATTTGGTCAGCCCCCATGACAACCAGGTCTGCCTCCACCCATTATAGTCTGGGTCCTCCTGGTATAAGCCATGTCCCCTATCACAGCCTAATCTTCCCTGTAGAGGCTTACAGCCCCCAAATATAACCTAGAGCAGTAGGGACCCCTTCTTGGTAAAGCCAGCCCCAGCCCCATTCCACTGAATCCATTCTAGCCCAGCCTCTTCCAATACAGCTCAATCCCCATCCATTATAGCTGGGGTTCCCCAATATAGCCAAGGCCTGTTCCAAGGGCAGCCCCCCAAATATAATTCGGTATGTAACCCATTCTCTCCCACTTAAGCCACCCTCCAATGGCTCAGTCTCTACCCAGCATAGCTGGGGTTCCCCAATATAATCAAGGCCTCTTCCAAGGAAAGCACCCCAAATATAATTACACAGATAGAGAGATATGTATTTCTCAGCCTCTTCCACTGTGGCCACCCCCTCATGACCCATTATAGCCCAGAACCTCCCAATGTAGCTCAGTCCCCATCTGTATAGTTAGGATTCTCCCCCTCCCCCAAAAGCCTCTTCCAAGGACAGCCTCCCCTAATTCAGTGTAACTCAGCCTCTCCAGCTTGAAACACCTCTCCACTGCCCAGTACAGACCGGCCCCTCCCAGCATGGCCCGAACCTCCACTCATAACCACCCCCCAATCTGTAAATCCTGGCATGGCCCAGCCCCTCCTCGTAAAGTATGGCCCCACCGCAGTCGGCTGGCCGAGACCCACCTCGCCGTCACGTCACCCCGAGCCCGCAGCCTGGCCTCCACCTCCGGTAGCAGCGGCGGCAACAGAAGCAGCAGAGGAGATGGAGGAGGAGGCAGAGCAGAGACAGAAGAAGAAGCAGAAGCAGCAGAAGCAGCAGCAGCAGCAGCAGCAGGAGCCAGGGCTAGGGCTGCAGCCATGATACCGAGCGAGCCGCTGAGCCCGCCCCCGACAGGCGGAGACAAGCCGTGCGAAGGGGAGCTCACGGAAATAGCCGAACGCCCAGAGCAGGGAAAGCGGGAGGGGCGGGGGAAGAGGGGAGCGGCGCCTGCGCCCTCACGGAAACCGCCGAGCCTGCAGAACGCGGAAGACGAACGGGTGGGGAAAAGTGGGCGGAGGGAGGAGAGGGGCGCCTGCGCTCTCACGCAAACAGCCGAGCGCGGCGTTAGGAGCCCCCGCCAGGAAGAGCGAGGGGGGCGGAGCGAAGAAAGGAAAAGTGCCTACGCTCTCCAGGAAACAGCCGAGCTAGCTCGGCGAGGGGCAGGCGGAAGAAACTGCGCCTGCGCCAGGATCTACATGGCCACTCCCCTCTTGTCTTTCTCCCTCTGCCCAGGCTGCGGAGTGGCCACAGAGCGCTGGGGGCGGGGCCTGGTGCTTCTGGCCCCGCCTCCTCCCAAAGTCACTGGCGGAACCCCCGATCTCCACCTCCTGCTGCCTGGACCCTTCAGGAGCTTCTCCCTTCCGGACGGGGTCTCCTGCACCCAACTTTCTCCCCAGTCACAATAATAAATAGCGCTTTATGTAAGGTTTGCAAAGCACTTGACAAAGCCCCTTTGATCCTCACAAACAACCCAGAGATGTAGGTGCTATTATACAGTTGAGGAAACTGAGGCAGCGAGAAATGACTTGTCCAGGGTTAGTTACCTGGTCGGTCCACAAGAACCCAGCATTTTTCAAGCGCCTACTCTATGCCAGGCACTGTGCTAAGCGCTGGGGGATACAACGAAAGGCAAAACATAATGGTTCAGTTCTGTCCAACTCTTGGGGTTTTCTTGACATGGATACCAGAGTGGTTTGCCATGTCCTTCTCCAGCTCATTTTACAGATGTGGAAACTAAGGCAAACAAGGTTAAGTGACTCGCCCAGGGTCATACAGCTAGTGTCTTAGCCAGATTTGAGCTAGGGAAGGTGAGTCTTCCAGGCCTGGCATTCTATCCATTTGACGCCAAATTGCTCCAAAATATAACAACAGCTAGCAATTACATACACCTTAAAGTCTGCAAAAACACTTTACAAACGCCTCATCTGAGCCTTACAGCAACCCTGAGAGGTAGGTGTTGTGGTTATCTCCATTTCACAGATCAGGAAACTGAGGCAAATAGCTTGAGTGACTAGTAAGAGTGTCTGGGGCTGGATTTAAACTCGGGTCTTCCTCACTCCAGGCCCCAGTGCTCCATCTACTGTACCACCTGCCTGTCCTGTTCCTTTCCACTCATTTTCTCAGTATGAAATCTCTCCCATTCATTTGCCCTCATCTCCTTCCTCTCCCCCAAATCTCTTCAGTATGAAATCTGTCTACTTTTAGATGAGATCTCCACTCCTTTCAGCTTGGGGTCTCCTCCACTCCATTCCTCCCTACCAGGTCTCAGGATAAGGGCTCCTCAGTGTGGGGTTTATGAGAGATTAATCCCTTCCTTTTTGGGGGTCCCCTTCATGAAGTTTCCCCCAACCTCATTCTCCTACTGCAAACTGACCCCTGATAATCTCTTTGATGTGGGGTCTCCTCCCCTCAGTCCTGCACCATGGGGACTTCCTTCCCTCAATTCTGCCCCTCCTCATATGGACTTTCTTTGAGCTCCCCACAATGGAAAGTTTCCCCCTTTCAGCACCCACCCCACCCCTTACATCCCCTGCATCCTCATTCCCTAAGCAGGGGATCTCCTCTGGTCTTCTCTACTCTTTAAGGCAATGTCTTCTCACAGTCTCCCCACCCAAGATATGGGCATCTTTGGCTCTTTGTCACCATTCCCCCACCTCTGTGGGGGTGTCCTCCCTTCAGGCTGGCTTTCTGTTCTACCTTCCTTTCCCTGTGTGGGAATAGGTAGCTGTGCAAAGAGGGGGGCCATCTGGCTCAGCAGGGTGGGGTCCCTTGGGCCCTTTGGGCAGGGCAGGCCAGCACCTGCCTCTCGTTAGCACGGGTTAATGGGCTGGCAGGGCTGCCAGTGTGCTGTCTTTAGTGTATTCGTTTTTTTTAAACAGCCAGTTATGTAACTCTTGAATTGGATAATTGAATAGAAGGGTGCTTGGGTCATTCCAGTCCTTTTCCTGGGGCAATCTCTCTCTACCTGAAGCCTTAGGCTTCTTTAGGGATGACTAGTTTCTGCTCTTTAGTCCCCCCCTGCACTTTCCCAGGCCACAAAAGAAAAGGCTGCCCATATGGGTGCCCAAAAAAGTGCCCATAGATGCATCCCAACAAGGGCTCCAAAAGGAATTTGTTTGTTTGTTTGTTTTGCTAGGCAATAGGGTTAAGTGACTTGCCCAGGGTCACACAGCTAGTAAGTGTCAAGTGTCTGAATCCGAATTTGAACTCAGGTCCTCCTGACTCTAGGGCCTGTGCTCCATCCACTCCTAAGTGAATTTATGTAAATTCATCCTCTCTGGAAAAAAGCCCAAGGCTGTTTGAAGTGGACTGCCACAGGGAGCAAAGCACAAAAAAGGAGGAGAGTCAAATGATTCCTCAAGACTGAAGCCCATGGCAGGCTGTCTCCTCCACTAGACAGGTGGCTCCTTGAGGGCAGAGACTGTCTTTTACCTTTCTCTTTATGGGTCTACTTCGTTCCTGGAAGCCACTTAATGCTGGTTTACTGATTGGCCAAATGCCTGAGCCTACCCCTTCCTGCTGCTACGTATCAGGGACACAACGTCTCTTGCTCAGTCCTTACCTGATCTCCCCAGTCCCTCCACCAGCATCATTATCTGCCGGGAAGTTGAGGGCCTGGCCTACATGCAGAAAGACCTTGAACCTAGCAATCCCCTGCCTTTTATCAATGGACCTCCTCTCATCCATCATTCATCGGGGGGAGGAGGGGGTATGGGCCGTTCAAGGAGAACTAAGGCCTCTGGTGTGGGGGCTTGCTGAGTCTTTTCAGGGCTTCTCATCTTCCTTGAGCATCCACCTTCACCCAACTCTCACCTGTGGCTCCCAGAAGTTACAGCAGGAGAAGATACAGCAGACATAAAGTCGGTGAGCTAGGGGGATGTCTACCTAAGCATGTGAAGACTTCCCCTGGAGGAATGGGCCCATGAGAAACATTTGTTCCAATGGCCGGGAAGGCAGCTGCAGCAGGGGAGAGCTTGGTCAGACATGGAAGACTCCGAGGTCATCCTGGGCCATCACCTGTCACCCTGACTTTTGTCCTGCCACTAGATTTTGATGACTCTGGAAGAGAGAGGCAGGCTGAAGACTTTGAGCAGCTCTGCCTCACTTAGATCCCATTCACACAGGAGTCAAGGCATCAACCATG